ATGAATGATAAACACATCCTTTGACATCCATTAGAGTGCACGTCACATAAGCATGAAACAATTCTTAATATGTATTGTTAAATAAGATTTAGTTATCAACTAACTAAGAATTCAACAAAGCATAAACACAATGCCAATTATTTAAATTCCTTTTGTAGCATTGTTCTCAATTCTTAGTTAGTTGATAACTAAATCTTATTTAGCACTACATAGTTAAGAATTGTTTCATGCTTATGTGACTTGCACTCTAATTGCTAGAAATAAAKTTATAAACTTGAATTTCTCTTATGGCAGGACTACAATCAAAGTACTCCAGAATTGAGGAAAAGCACGAGAGTGGGAAAATTYTCGACTCTTTTTGACAAGAGAAAAAAGTCTTCCAGTACAACGAGTGATGACCATAAGAGAACTGAACCAGACGGTACTGCTGATGATGATAGTGACGTCGGGGAGTACGTAGAGGTATAKTCGCGTTTTACGGATTGTGAAATTTGACTAGGTAGTTTCCGTACGGACTTTACGTAATAGACTATTCTACTGATATAATTGCCATGGCCATCTTGAATTATGAGATGGCCAATGACCAATGAGTTTAAAGGATATTACATAAATAGTAAAAAAGTAACTCTAACTTCGTAAATTTTCYCTCAATTTATGTATGCTTAAATTAAGAATGCTTGRTAAAAGTGAATGTTTTGATTTATTTTCTTCCCCAAGCCCCCAGACGATACACCTCTTGAGGAAGAGGAGTGGTTCCATGGTAAAATATCACGTGAAGAGTGTAAGAAACGGCTGCAACATGACGGAGAGTACCTGGTACGAGAGAGTGCTACTAAAAGCGGAGAATACGTACTGTCAGCAAAGGACAAAGGAGCATTGAGACACTTTATCATTCAAAAAACAGAGGAGGTAAAGAAGCTCAGGCTTTCATTTTACTTTTGGTGACTGCTGACTTTTTTCGMATACCCTTTTCGTTTACCCTTGTGTTTTTTTCGTCGTGCGACCTTTGCCTAAGTTTCGAACATGCTTGAAAATTGGCTGCTACTTCGCGGCGATTTTCCATCTTCGCAACAATCGCAGGGCTGACACGTAGGATTTGAGTTGCGCGATAGCAAAGTGAGGTTTATCGCGCTGCAAAAATCGCAATTGTAAWCGGGCCTTTACTGATTTAACTCAGAAAGACCGATATTTTACGTGACGGATGGGACTCCTGCGGAGTAGGCATAGATGGTCCTGTACAAGAGTAGCTTTCCTATGAGTGCAGCGTGGAAATGTTGAATAATATATGAAGTGAAAGTACTAAAACACGGAAAGGATTTGAAATTTTTAAAAGGCCCGTTCACACTGACGATTGTTAACACATTAACTAAAAGAGCTAACTAAACTTCAGATAAGATACGAAAATCGCAGCAATAATCCCAGTGTGAACCGACCTTACAAGTCACGGCAGTATGACACTTTAAAAGTTTCACATTCACTGAATTAACTAACGAAAATGTTATCCAATCATGTTTCAGCATTAGAAACAAAAGCTTTTTTTCACAAACCGCGTGRGAAGAAAATTATTGAAGATCTGTACTGCAAACATAGTTTGAATTTGTTGATATTTCAATCCTTAAATGCTCAAACGTGATTAGATAACGTGCTTTTATACAGGGAGGTGTGCGTTTCGAAGACAATGCTTTCCCAACTATCCGCGAACTTTTGAACTATCATACCATTCATAAAGCGCCAGTGACAAAGAAGTCTGGGGCCATGCTAACGACTGCAATACAACGCCCTGATCACAAGCCAACGAGAGATAAGTGGAGCATGAGCCATAACAGAATTAAGATCCAATCCAAATTAGGCCATGGTCATTTCGGGGACGTTATGAAAGGGATTCTTCTGCCTGAAAATTTACCAGTTGCTGTTAAGTCATGCAAAGAGAACGTATCCGATGTTGTCAAGCAAAAATTTCTCGCCGAAGCAGCAATTTTAAAGCAATATGAACATCCGAATATTGTTAAGCTTATTGGCATATGTGCTGACAGAGAACCGGTCTACATTGGTACGTATAGTCTTTTCTCGCGTTTGAATAACATTATTGACCATATGAAAAAGGGCGTGGCTATCGTAATGTCTTAGTTTATACATGTTTATAAGTAGTTTAATATATTATTACTACCCGCTAAAAGAAAAAAAACATATTACTATGAGTATGATCAAAAAGTTTCAATGCTCTAACATTTAAGGACCACAAATTACGGTTGTTTGAAATTGCRAAGGTTTGAGTTAAAATCAGTATTGAGGCCTTACTAGCCTCGCTTTTACATTTTAAAATGCTTAACCTGAAAAGTAAGGAACTATGTAATCATT